GTTTCTCATTTACAATTCCTAAATTTCAAGTCAATTCATTGATCTAAAGTGACCTGAAAAAAAAGTTGAAAAGTTCTGACTGTCTTTTAAGTGAATATCTTAAAATTTATAGACTCCGATCTGGATCTCTGCCATAATGGAATCTTCAATTCTACCAGATCAGAGTTTCTACCCTGATATAAACATTAGCACTTTGGGTGAAGTGTACTTGCTTAGGTGCACAGTGTCAAAAAAAGACTACGGTCTCGGATGATGTTACATACAGGGAGCACTGGGTTATGTAGCCTCCGTAGCAGGCTTATAGAACTGGGGGTTTGGTGGTCTTCGGCTGTTTTCTGATTAGCCTCCGTAGCAGGCTTATAGAACTGGGGGTTTGGTGGTCTTCGGCTGTTTTCTGATTAGCCTCTGTAGCAGGCTTATAGAACTGGGGGTTTGGTGGTCTTCGGCTGTTTTCTTGTTAGCCCAGTTCTAAAAAAAACGGGGGTAATTCAACCAGGCCGGCTATGTTGTCTATATGCAATCAGAAAATAGCACATAAAAGCTCTCAAAGACCCTGAAAACCCCAGTTTTTGGCATGCTGTGGAGGCTATGGATTATGGTCATGGCAGGATAGATATAGATAGAAACCCCACCTTTGTATTGAGAAATGGTACTCTCCAAGCAGAGGTTTGGGTTTTGGGGGTATTTTTAGCGCGTTTTTCGGCTTTTTTATCGGGGTTTCTCTTTTGCTCTGAATTTTTTTCCTACCAAACCCAACAAAATTCAGTGCAAAAGAGAAACCCCGATAAAAAAGAGCCGAAAAACACGCTAAAAATACCCCCAAAACCCAAACCTCTGCTTGGAGAGTAGAGAAATGGACCAAGTCTATTGCTGAACATTCCGCATCCTCAATGCAATAAACATTTTCAGACGTGACTGGATGTAAGATCTGTGCATCTTCATTTTCTGTCTCTTTTCTTCTGGACACCCCGAATGGAAATACATGTACTTAGGAGACAGGTATTTCTTTTTACACAACCTGTAAATTCTCACCTTGCTGACATTTCGGTGTCTCAGACACCTTCAGCAAGGTGAGAATTTACCGGTTGTGTAAAAAGAAATACCTGTCTCCTAAGCTCTACCAACCTGATGAAATTATTTTCGGATGTACATGTACTATGTAATATTCCAAATTTTAAGTTAGAACAAGGAATAATGGTCTTGGTTAGAGTTAAGTCAGACTTGATGTTATGACCAAAAAGGGCTAAACGTTCTATCCAGGTGACACTAGGTAAATTGGGACTTGCCTAAATTTCCGACCGACTCCGTCAGCCTTGTTGACGGACTTGATGTTATTTCCCCCCCAAAAAAAACCCACCAGAAGTTCGCGAGCCACTTCTTCTGAACTGTGTCTTCTGAATATCTAAAACTAGTTCCTTGAGTTGACTCATTTCAAACCCAAATTGAGGTATTCAAAAACTCGTATTTACCCAAGAACTATTGTAGACTGGAACTCATCGCCACCAAGCACAGTTGGGGCATCATCACTAGAACGCTTTAAACAACTCCTGCAATCAAATGTGCAAATATTGAGTGTAACAAGTCGTTCGGTGTGATATTCCTAGCTGCCGCCGCGCCGCGTGCCTGCAAAGCTGGTGTGTTACACTGAAGGGCGGTTATACCGGCTATACAGATACAGATACAGACAGAAACCCACAAGTTTATTCTAAAACCGTACTCCCTGGACCACTAGCCATACGAACCAACATCACTCCAATTCAAACTTTGTTCATTCACATTTCATAAGTACATGTGGTATCTATATAGTATATTCTATTCTATAGGCAACAGGTGCTGTAAAGTAGAGTGGTGAATTTGTTAGTATGTATCGAGTCCATAGCCTCCACCAGGCTTCACAGGTGAATGGAAATCAGCCAAAAAAGACAGATAAAATGCCAAGAGATTTGGTCCGTAAATAAAGGAGTACGGTTTTTCAGAGCGGCAAACTACTCCTTTGGCGATCTACTCTAACTCCCCTGTCATCTTGGCTAATTTCCTCACTTTCCAGCCGCCTCTGAAGCCTGGCAGAGGCTATCAAGACCCCTCCACTTGCCCCTTACGGCGCAAAATGTTAAGAAAAGCTAGCCTGTACCAGGCTTCGGCAGGCGGCTTTTTGGCATGTTGTCTCTCTATCTGGCTGATTTCTACTCTTTCCATGTTGTCTCTCTATTTGGCCGATTTCTACTGTTTCCAGCCGCCTCCCGAAGCCTGGTAGAGGCTAAAGAAAAGCCATTAGTGATATCACTCGGCAGTTACGTGTCTGAATGGTTGACCTCCACAAAGAAGCAATCTGCCCCCGGTGTGACCGTTATACGTCCGGCTACAACCTACCACCCGCACATCCACGTAACTTCGTAACTCTCCCATTCAGCCACCGCCACGGCGAAGAAAACCACCGGCCTTAATTTTATTTTCAGTGTAATCTCACTCTATTGTACCACAAAGGTGTTTTCATAGCGATTTCGCTAGGCGCACGGGCGTGGACAATGCGAGGTATATTGAGTGTCGTTAAACGGTCTGTTCACATTGTTTCCCCGATTTAGACAAAGGAGACGGTATTTATCTGTTTACTGCGATACGCGTAATCGTCCCCTCCGACGATGATTAAACTCTCCTAAGCTTTCCCGCACGACTCGGACCTTTATTGCCGGGCAGTGGCCCCTTGCAGCACGCCCGGTGGCGGTGCGGGCCTCCCTTAGCGGACGCACACCTGCGCGGGAATATCAAGTTCGTGCGGCCACAAAAGGCCCTTCCGGACGGGGACTACGGTTTCTCCTGGTCGGTATTTCTCCCGGTACAACCTACATGTCACGGTAAAGGCATCCAGCGCAGTTTTAGGGCGGCACAAAAGAAAATGAAGAAATATATTCTGGATGAGGAAATCTGCTAGCCTGGTTACCAAACTTATTATAGCTCCCGAGTCCTACATCCTCTCCGCAAATAGGAGAGGATGTAGGACTCGGGAGCTATAATAGGTTTGGTATTAAAACCAGGCTAGAAATCTGCCACTTCTTGGCACATTTTCGTCATCATTTCATACTTTTGAAATAGATGTCACGGTAAAGGCATCCAGGGCAATTTTAGGGTGGCACAAAAGAAAATAAAAAAATATATTTTGGATGAGGAAATCTGTCTGATATCGACATTTTCTTCCACTTCTTGGCACATTTTCGTCATCATTTCATCATGACTTTTGAAATAGCCTAACCTAAAATCAAGCAATGTCAGGCGTATCTATATTTTCTTTGGTACCACCCATAAATAGATAGAACCAGCCTACGACACAAAATAAGCAACCGTTTTCCTAATCTCCAAGCAGATCATACGATGGCAAAGCAGTATCCATCGGCCACCGTGGGCCTTGTCACCTAGGAACTTCTTTGAGATTATACAAGGACGTCCTTGGATGATACGATACCACACAATTGCAAGATACCGTATTCCGTCGCATTTTCCCCTCGCAGAGATCAGCTTGGTTTTGGGGTATGACTGATTCAATTTTAATACTACGTTATCTAAAAGAATGACCAATAAATGGTTTTTGTGGGGTCGTGTGGCGCAACGGCAGCGTGTGCGACTCGGAATCAAGAGGTCCCGGGTTCGAGTCCTGACATGCCACCGATCTTGTACCCTTGGGAAAGGCACTTTACACGACTTTCCCCACTAGACTCAAGTGAAAATGAGTATTGTCTGTCCAGTATTCGTTTCTATGTGCGGGACACAACACCAGCAACAGCTGCGTCTGTTCCGCATGTATTGCACTGTTGCAATTTCAATAAAATAAAATAAAAATATATTTTTAAAAATTAAAAAAATGGACTTTGAAAATCCCGCCATTGCATATACTCTTCGTTGTCAGTGTGGGGCTAAGATTAGCAACCTGCTGGAGTTGTCCACCACTGTGGCCTGTAAGATTCTATGCTGCTCGTCACTCGATAACAAAATCCAGTATGAGTGACATCGCGATGTTTTTTTACACGAGGCACAACATCGAGAGAAGGCTGACTGAGCAACCAATGAACACAGGCTGAAAAAATGTTTTATTTCTACAAGTGCATTTATCAAAACACTGTCTACTGATTCCCGCTCCCCAATCGTCTATTTACAACACGTATCATCATTAAAAAGTATCAACAATAAGTTTCCAAAGGATTATACAATAAGGCACTAAAATTCGCCACTTTGGATGCAAACTTACATGTACTTTGCTTCCAACGGGATTGTGTTCCTTTGTCACAACTCCGGGAACTTTTCAATACAAGACACTGACTCTGATTTTTACCTCTCCTTCGTCAGAGGATGATTTTGAAAGATTTCCTACCCTCTACCAGGCACCGCGGATCGCTGGAAAAATAGTAGAAATTGGCCGAGATAAAGGGATAGTATACCAGGGGAGTTAGCTGGCCAGAGAAGATCCAATTTGCGACCCACGGGGCCGGCTAACTCCCCTGGTATACTATCCATTTCTTTCGGCCGTGAATTTCTACTATTTTTCCAGCGATCCGCGGTGCCTGGTAGAGGCTAAAGATTTTTCACAACTGTCTTCGCATCATTGTTTTCTCGTGCACTGGCTGAGGCTGCTGGATGGTCTTTAACTGATGCATTCTCTTATTGCACTTGTCGGGACAATCATGCTACAATCGACCACAAGCAACTTTGTTAGAATCCTTGATTTGACTCAACTTTGTTAGAATCCACATCTGGTCTAGTACTACAGATGCCGCCACTTCCAAAATACTGTCCGTTATGTACAAGATGCTGGGTGGCTTACACTTCTGGCAATGTAACCTTTGCAGATCTTGGTTGACGCATCACAAAGAGGAAATTTTAAGGCAGAGATGTTGCCAGTTTTCTGGATCGCAGTCACAAATCAAAGGCACCAGGAGTCGTTGCCACTAGTTGTACTGTTCGTTACCGCTCTGTCGCAAGTATGGCGTCGCGAAGGGTTTTTAGGAGATGTTGCCACTTTCAGTGGATCTGCTTTAAGGAAATGTGACGGCACTCCGGGAGTTCGGTGTCCAGTTCCAGTACTGTTCGGTACAGCTCTGTCGCATGTATGGCGTCGTCCGAAAAAGGTCAAAGTCACAAAATTCAATGATGTTGCCACTTTCAGTGGATCTGCCACAACATGTGAAGGCATTGAGAGTGGTTGCCAGTTTTCTGTCACATGTAACGTTACAGCGTCGTCCAAGCGACTTTAGTGTGGCACGAGATATGATGGCTTCACTGCTCCAGGTCCTGTAGTACGTGTTTCTGCGCATGCTCCTTCGGCTCCGATGACGTCACAGGTTGAGAGGACGGGCTGGGTGATGGGGAGGAGGATGCTGGGCTGGAGGAGACCGGAAGTGACGCGCCCGGTGACGTGGTGGTGACTTCCTGCTCCTCCCCGTGGTTCAGATAGTCGCTCTGCTCCTTCCTGGGTCGGCCTTTGGGCTTGGTGGGGGACTCCTGTCCGCCGCCCTGTAGCACCTGCAACACAGGGGTAGCGGGTTAGCCAAGGATTGTTTTTTTTTGCACGATATATATATCTATATCATTGGTTTATTTCAAAAACACACAAATCACAATACAGGTGCATCACTGGACAGCCACAAGGCTGAATTGTGTGATTAAAAGCGTTAGACAGTGAAATAAAATCCTGGTCATCGTTCCGTGTTTTAAAAACAGTCATTAAATCATATCATTAACATCATACATTTCAGACTATTCATGATTTAAAATGTGGTACGGTAATGTACTTCTGTTGTACCGCTCTGTGCGCGCTGGCAATTGGTCAAGTTTTGCTTGTTGATTGTGATGAAAGCTCCTTTTCTTTTTTACAGGATTGCGAGTATGGATTACGATTGTGATATGGATGTTTAATTCCGTCTTTGCTTGTATATATGTAAGTTACCCACTAGGGCAACTATGAAAAGCAGTGCTGAGTGGTGCCGGTGCTACCCTCGTTAAAGAACACAAGAGAAAAGTTTATTGCAAATTCCTGCCCGGAGGCTAATTGCAAATTACAAAACATAAATGAACAATGAAATAGTACAAACAATAAAATAACTAAAGTCTGCATGATGAAGGTAGCTGTCTAGAACTATAACTATGTCTAAAACTATGTCTGAAGGGTTTGACTTTTCTTCTGTAAACCAGAGAGACGTAATGTCCCACCTTTTCCAAAATTTGTGGGTTTTGGGAAGTTAAAAGAAGAATAGTTTTTTCTTGGTCTGTAAGTTTAGAGAAATTGGGATGAATAAACAGGATTGAGGTGGTTAAAAACTCGTGTTTTCCTAGAGCTATCTGCAGGTGGATCCGGAACTCGTTGCCATCAAGTACAGTAGCCTAGGGGCAACACCACTAGACTAACTTTTTTTTAATGACGATTTACCACATTTGTGGAAGGATTGACATAACAGGTGACAATCACCTCTACAAAGATGTCAACCCCAAGACCAGACTTGAACCACTCACACCGGGAAGGTCCCCTACTCTTTTTGATAAGTGCGGTGGGTTCTTTAACGTGCGTGGGGTGTGGCTCTCCCAAACATGGGACCTCCATTTAACGTCCTATCCGAGGGACGTCCCTAAACGAAGCTAGGTACTCAATTACACCTGAGTGAAGTGAGGAAAGTCGTGTAAAGTGCCTTTCCCAAGGGCACAAGATCGGTGACACGGGCAGGGTTCGAACCCGCGACCTCTCGGGTGTGAGCCGAACGCGCTACCGACTGCGCCACACGACCCCACCAGTTAGCTTTAAGTTACATGTGCAGAGGTGAGGTGTAATATAACCAGCTGCCGCCGCGCCGCGTGCCTGCGAAGCTGGTGTGTTACACCAAATTAAGGTCGGTTATACAGGCTCTACAGATACCGAAAACAAACATCCCAATGCTTATAAATTTCTCGCCGAATGATTTTATCCATATTCGGCAATGTTTGCAGCCTGTATGATTGCTTAGGTTAGCAAACAAGAATCTCTGCCCTAATTTTAAGACATGTGTAAAATTAAGGCTAAGGCCTTTTGTGTGGGCGGGGGCATACGTCACGGTTCCTTAGATTATCTAAAAGACAGACGGAATGTATCTAAATGAATTTTTAAAAATTTACGCCTTTCAGTGGCAGATATGAGATGTTGTCACATCGGCGCACCAAATCCGTAAGGTGTTTTTGGCACCTTGACAGACAGATTAGCCTAAGAGGCTCGGTGGGCGTCACTCCACCGTATAGGTGGGGAAGTCGTGTAAAGTGCCTTTCCCAAGGGCACAACGTCGGGCCACGGTGAGTATCGAACCCGGGACCTCTCGGTTCCGAGTCCAACGCTCTAACCGTTGCGCCACCGACGCCACATATGAATAGGCAAGAAAAAGGCATCCTCTACTGGTCTGCATTTGGCTCTCACCGATTCTATGAAAATATACGCCCCTTTCTTGTACGCCCCATTCCGGTGTTGAGCCAAATCCTTGAGCTGCCACATACGCGAGAGGTCAGGTGTTTAGGGCTAGGGTTATGGTTGGTATTAGAGTTAGGGTTAGAGTTGGTATTAGACGTAGGGTCAGGGTTGGTATTAAGGTTAAGGTTAGAGTTGGGGGCTAGGGTTAGACTGACGATTGGGGTTAGGTTAGGTTTAGTCTCCCACATCACGACTAAACCCCTCCCACCCCTTGTCTCAGGTCTATTGGACACCCCCAAGTAGTGTCGGGGTCATGTATTTGGCAGGATCATGTATATGGCTTGACACGGCCAATGATAGGTCAAACGATGACGTACTTTTCAAACACGACAAAAATGCGGGACGCCTTTCTTCCCGCACCTGCGGTCCTCTCGTGGAAGCTCCGGGGAGGGGGCTAGAAAAGCAGGTTCAAATAAAAATAGCTCGAATTCCTGTTTATTTTCCCATTGTCTCCGACCGAGGTATGTCCGCTTGATGCCGGAATGGGGAAGAAAGGGAGCCGCAAAGTCAAGGCGCAATATCCGCGGCGTAACGCGACCTCGCTGGTTCTGGCACGCCGGAGCTTTGACGAGGGAAACCCAAGTCAGTTGTACTACCCACAGCCCCTTTCTCCGCGCTCTCAGCGGCCAGGTGGCCTTTTTGTTATACCTGTGAGGCTGTCAGTAATGACTCGGTATCATAACGTTTCCTCATAACGTGCGGAACGAGTATTACTTTCAGTCGATTTTCTCTTTTGTAGACCAATCCTAGCCTCCACCAGGCCTTTCTACGGGAAAACGGATCGGCAATAAAATTGGCCAAGGGAGTCCGGCCGCGGGGAGGTAGTTTCTTTCCCTTCCTGCGCGGCCAGTCAAACCTACAAGGCGGCCAAACTCCCCTAGACCAACCCTTGGCCAACCCTATGCATATAAATACTCGAATAATAACGTAGCTACCCGATTCACATTATGGCAAAGTTCTGACGTACGAAAATAGCCTCCTGTGCAGGCCCCGCGGCGGTGGGGAAGAGTTTTAACGCATTACTTGCACACTGAGATATTTTGTGTCCAGTGTGCTTTGGGTCTGGCATCCAGGCTATAATATAGCCGGCCATCCTACATAGCCGCCGAGAGAATTCGAAGGTTCCATTCCGCCCCGTGGGCTTACGTAAGATCACACCGCGTTCCTCCCAGCCTCGTATAAAACGGACGATGGTCAGTTTACATTAGTTGATTAGCTGGATGACAACCAATATATAGCAGAGGACATAATTGCTGAAGTGGTAACGTCCCAGTCTCTACCAGACTAACTCCGCTGGCTATATATATATACAGGAGAATAATTACCAGGGGCCGCCTTGTAGGTTTGACTGGCCTCCGAGGGAGGGAAAGAAACTACCTCCCCGCGGCCGGACTCCCTTGGCCAATTTTACTCTCTTTTTTGCCGAATTCTACGATCCGTATTCCCGTAGAAAGGCCTGGTGGAGGCAAGTAACGTTCCATGCACTAGCCTAACATAGATCATGGTCATCTTGATAGTTGTGTTGTTTGGCAAACACGACGTTCAAATTAAAACTGTCGTAACGTTACACGAAAAAATTAAAACGGGGTGATCGATCTGCACCTTTGATCGATTTCTGTTTTTACAGGTGAGTCATTGTGTAGGAATGCTTTCTTTTGTTCTCGGGCACTTCTGTGTTTCTGCTTTTGTTCTTCCGATAGGAACAATCCTTAAGTTCTGTTCTCAACAGAGATGTGTTTAAACAGTCATAACGTAGCCTCCGCCGGGCCTTTCTACGGGAATATGGAGCGTAGAATTCGGCAAAAAAAAAAGAGAATAAAATGGGCCAGGGGAGTCCGGCTGCGGGGAGGTTGTTTCTTTCCCTCCAAACTGCGCGGCCAGTCAAACCTACAAGGCGGCCAAACTCCCTGGCAAATATTCTCCTATATATAGCCAGCGTAGTTAGTCTGGTAGAGACTAGTCATAACGATTGTGTAACGTATGAACGTCAGAGTACGATCTGCCAGTACCTGATTCACACTGACACCCCCCCTCCTCTCTTCATACCTCACCGATGACAATGGTGAGAAATGTAAACAGCTCTCACATTACTAAGTACACGACTTTTCTATTTTATATTGTGCCAACATGAAATTGCATTAACCTATCTGACACCAGATGGATTTCACGTCACCGACTGAACGTACCCCCGAAAACAAGCGATCGGGAAGGACGGACTTTCTGTAACAGTGGGGGGTTTATAGGCGCTACCAACTGACCCGGCCGATGGGTCTAGACCTTTTAGCGGAGTGGTTAGAGCGTGGTTAGAGCGCCCGGGACCAGTGGGGTTTTTACTGGCTCCTCCTGTTTCTTACATTTCTACCATCGGGCTTTCTACCAGGCCCTAGAAGAGGCCGGAAAGTGTAAAAGTGGCCAAGTAGACAGATAACATGCCGGGGGAGTTGGTCCGGTAAGGAGTACTACTGCACTCTCCAAGCAGAGGTTTTGGTTTTGGGGGTATTTTTAGCGTGTTTTTAGGCTTTTTATCGGGGTTTCTCTTTTGCACTGAATTTTTTTCCCACCAAAGTTTGGTTGGGTTTGGTGGGAAAAAA